GGTGTATTGTATAAATTTTCTCTATAATTTCATTTCATTTCTCGCTTATTTCAGTCTCAATTTTGGAGGTCTCTTACTTCTCAACAAGCCCGGAATAAGAGCGCCTGCTCGTCTGAAATACCAGATTTGCATTTTAATCAGGATACCTACACACGAGTCTCAAATGATTCAGTTGTTAAAATAAAACAGTGTCAAGGTGCAAGTTCCTATCCATTTGCTCATAATCGAACTTTTCTTTGTTTTTTTTTTCTTTCTAGTTGAGTCGCTCGATAGTCAGTAGTACGCTGACCGCAGTAACCGACAACTCGACAGTCATAGAAGGTTCGTCCGAGTCATCTTCTAATGTGACTGTCGTTGTCATAGACAGCGATTCCAAGACTCCTGAACCTGGAACACACAGCCGCAGTCCATCTGTAGAGAGGTAAATACAACGTGCTAATGTAGGAGCTGTACCGCTGTACTAAGATTGGTATTCATTATCTGCACACTTTCCTCTTTACATTTCCTTTGGGACTGACATGGAGAATTTGTTTTGGAGAATTAGATGCTCACTAAATTGGTGATCATTTCCTTTACTCTCATGACGTTTACATTTGATTCAAGGGTGATACAGTGAGGAGAAATAAGAATCTAGTCCCTCTTTGAGGTGTAAGGGTTAAAGAGCTTATGTATTATTTGGCGTGGATGCCCGCAGTCAATAAGGGTTACAGCCGATCAGTGATAATAGGGACCTTAAGCAGTCAGGAAGGCAACGCCTTCAGTTAAAAAATGAATTTCTGACTTTAATTAGAATTTCAAAAAATGGCTGAATGCGTTCACCGTCTCATACGGCGCCACACCTCAACTTCAGCATAACGTATAAAAGAAGCGTTGAGTTCCAAATGGAAATTAAAATAATTTGCCGTCGCGGTCTCTATTTGCAGACGACGCAATTTGTGGTGATGTCACGTTGTTGTTTTGCATGGGACGGCTAAGAAATGCACAAAATTTTCAAACGCACGTGCTGAGCTATTGTTCTGTCAATTAAATCTATTGTTTTTCCATGTCCTCGTTGCCGTCGCCGTCGTGGTTTGCTTAAGGTCCCTAATACGGACCAATGACCGCATGACCAAACAACAACTGATGGGCGGAATAAAATGAAAACGATTAATAGAGTTTATCTCTTCGAGAAGAAAGCTCCTTCAAAATGTTCCGTCTAATTTGAGGTTCTTTGGTTCTAAAAAAGAATCATTAAAAAATTGTATCCTGTGACATTTTTCTCTAGAAGAATTATGGTATTCCTGTTTCTCTGTAGTTCGGATTCGTTACCTGGCGCTTCAGAAACCAGCTATTCTTACAAACTGTTTGCTGTGACTGAGATCACGTGGGACTCGCGTGAAGAGCCTGAGAAGTTGTGGACATCGCACGTGGGCTCTATAGTAAAAGACAATCTAGGAGTGACCGCTGTCAACACTTTCTCCATGTTCTGTTGCTTGTACAAGAGCACCCGCAGAAAATTCTACAGTTTAACACGAGAGTGCTGCAATTATCTGGTAGAGGACAAGTTTCGAGATGTGACCCATCACTTTTCAAACTGTTTAGAGTTCCTAGAGTCGCGAGGAGACTGTCCCTTTGTTTTCATTGATACAGAGACCTTGAATCGAACAAAGTTACTGGAGAGGCATAAGTTCGCTGTGTTGGAACTGCATTCGCATTTTTCTAGCTACATGCAAAAGAGCGAACGCACGCTAGAGTGTCTTGATGATGTGAAACTGGCGGTGAAGCGTTCATCTGTGGGCTCGCATCATGAGGAGCCTGAAACTCGCCTGTCTCCAGACCCGGACAGTCAGGAAGTAAGGCAGGTGCAGCTGTGTCGCTACTTGTACAAGACTCATTTTCAGTTTTTACTCTTCTGTAGCACATACGCCCGGCTACTGGAATCGCTGGTACAGGCTGCGCGACAGGCTGAGGTAGGTTCCATAACCGACAACTGTTGATAAAAGTTTATAACTGATTATTAATAGAGGGGTTGAAATAAAGATATCAAACACACGCATGATACTCGATTGCGTGGTCAAATACTCTACCAACTTGCACTAACAATATCGTAGAGTTCAGGAAATATGCTGCAAAAAGAGTTTTCTTCTTTCCGTTATTGTTGCTGTTTTTCCTTGTTCCCTTTTTCCGTTTTTTTTTCCCTCTCTTCTTTTCATTTACCCTCTGTAAATGCTTTCTGTCTCCAGGTAAACGATCTAACTCAGGAGGTAACCGAAATTCGCCGAGAGGTATCCTCGGTTCTCGAACACCCTCTGACGGAAGACACCACATTCGTCAAGAACTACTTGAATACTGAACCCTTGACAAGAGACTCCGCTGTGCAGGTTCTTGTAGAAAAGCTTTGCAGCAGAGACCTTGATCGGTCCATCCATCTTCTGCGAGCGTTTAGGGAGAAGTTTGGAGGAGAAGTGTTTGGCATTTCGGACGAGGACAACTTGGACAGTCTGGTGTCATTCTATTGCAAACACGTGGCAGAGAAAAATGTGGGGTCCCTGGTCATGTCAGGTCCGATCCAGAACTTTGCAGCGTTGTGCAGAAATCTAATGGAAGTGAATGTTGCCATTCTTGCTGCCGTTGAGGATCTGAACATTTAATGACACGCGCAATTCAGATAATCCAATCAACTTTTAGAGTAACCAGTGCTCAAGATCAACAAGAAATCCCTCGGGTTTCCAGCGGTGATGTAACAAGCGACAACCGTTAGGTTAAGGGACCCTTTTTCCCTCGATTTTTTTTTCTCGATGAGCTTAAAGATTTAAATTCTCGTTTAGTTTTTAATCCATACATAATAGAGAAGTTAATTTACGGTTTGGTTTCCTTTACGCTTTGTTATCTGATTCGGTTAAGTTTAAAGGAAATGATATACGTTGGAAAAAGTTATGAAAAAAGTGATAAAAAAGTGAAAAAAACTGGAAAAAAACTGAGAAAAAAAGAAAAATTGCTAATGATATAGTTAAGTAGGGTGACTGGATATAGTTCAAGAGGCATTTTTTAAAATTAATTTCGTGAATTTAGCAAACATACAACCGTTATGTTTCTGGAGCAAAGGCTAGGTCACTCTGGAGGAAGTTTCAATGTACTCATTTTTTTTTTTCCCTTTTTTTTTCGATGACTATTTTGATATTTTGATTGTATATTAATAGGGCTCGGTCACTGAAGTTATTTGGGAAGGTCAGGTTTGAATTAAATTTTGTTTCCCAGTAGGTTTAGTTGTGTAGTTCGACGTTGAAACAGCTAATATCCATTAACAGTTGCCAAAAACTTAGTAAGCAGTGAGTTTCTAAATCGATGTTGAATTTGTCCTTATCTTTATAAGGTTTGTCTAGAATTTTTATCGAGAGAATCTGGTTTTAAATTTATTGTGCACCACTTTCTAGAATTTGTTCTAATTTAGCCGTAGCGTTTCTTAAAGGTCAATTTTTTAGCCTTAAATATGGCTGGAAAATACTCGCTTTTGATTAGTTCCAAGTAGAAAATATATTTAAATTATTTTAAATTAACATGGTCTTTATTTTATTAGAGCGAGTTTGAGATCTTTGAGGAAAATAAAGTGGAGGTATAATGATACAAAAGCTGTATAGAAAATTGTGTGTTTAATCGAAATAACCTTCATGAGAAGAAAGTGACTTTGTGAGGTTCGAATAGTCGCTTTTTCGAAGAAAAAACCGAATCAAGAGACCGTTTTCAAGGCTTGTAACAAAAGTGAATTGTTGTTAAATCCTTTTGACACTGCCAAACTAATTTTCGGACTTTTCTAAAATCTTGCATATTAATGGCAGTTAGCTTTTAAATCTAACTCAATTTATGACTTGTACTATTCCAGATGTTACGTAATAAAGCGCGTTCCCAAGGCTTCTCAATGGAGATTGAATTTGCTCAATTATTTCAGACAACGTTAAAAGCCCTTTACTGATGATTGATCAAAAGAGTAAAGACTTCGAAGCTGGAGTATCCAAAATAAAAATATATCTGAAGTTTCATGTAGTATCCAATTGGAGGATAAGTTTCACAGCAGTTTATTTTTCTGAGACCACAGAGAAAAGACGAATATAGCTGACAACAGCTGCCCGGATTGCCAAGCTGTTATTTTTGAAGCTGCGCTGGATTGTCTTTGGACATTTATTTTGCAAGGTGCAGCTGTATGCAGCTAAGTTTAAACAATCTAGGTCAACAAAAAAGAAAAATATTTTTTCAGGTTATCCAAATAATCTTGGAGCCGCAACCCAGTGACCCTTTGGCGAACATGCAGCACTTTTTGGCTATGGCTTATAAAAGGTATAATCACTTATTTCCTGAACTGCATGAATGTTCAGTCGGGTGGACCTAATAGAACAGAACTGAAAGAAACCGTACATGGACACAAACGGAATCCTGTAATGCCATCTGTTTACAGAAGTTGTTAGTCCCGTGTTAGTGGTATCAAACAGGATGTAAATTTGGAAGTCTTCAGACTTATTTAAGAGTAAAAAGAAAATCATTATTTAGCCTCTCAAACAAAATGTCTTACTTTGAGCACTGGCAATTCGCAGTCTGTACAGATGGTTCTGGTATTTTTTTTTCTTTTCAATGCAGTTCGAAATATTCCGCTGTCTGAAATAGCTTGACGCTGGGCATGTTGGATCCTGTTGTCTGTCTTTTGTGTAAGAGTTACCTGAATGAACATAGTTTCAGGAGAATACCACAGATGCGCGACGGAACATCTTAGTTGAGTTACTCAATGATACGGACAGTGTCAAGTGTCGCAGTGTCAAGTGTCACCAGTTTGTTTATCCATGTTGTCAGCATTGACTTGCCTTTGCTCATGCAATGTTAGAACATCTGAGGAACCTGCACTGCAAGACAAACGAGAGAAGGTGCAGCAAACAACAGTTTGTCGCGATGCTGCAGGTGAGTAAACTGTATAGTAAATATAACCTGGTGTCTTTCTCATCCCATTCCAATACTTCATATTTCAAGGTAACAGTATGAAGTGGCTGAGTGTTTTTGCGCTGTTTCTGGCGTTAGTTGCGGCTGAGAACCCCGAAGGTAGGCTTATCTGCATCTGCTGTGTTGAGCTCGCTTACATTTTGACCAGGACAAATGTATCTTTATTCTTCTTCTTGCGGAATCACACTAAGCAACCAAAAAGAATGAAAATCGAAGTTTCGGTTCCATCGCAACTTTGCTGATTGTATAAAAGGAAAAAAAGAACAGTATTTTTTTTCACATTTTTATATCCTTAAAATTTCAATATAGACCAAAACCTTTGATCATTGCATAAACAGTCAGCAAAATATGAGCTCGTGTATCTCTTTTTTCTTTTTCTTTTTTTTTTTGCGGCTTGGCAATTTAACTATTTCCACCCTGAGGGATTGTTTGTTAGATAAAAATGAAAAACACTGTCAAATTCAAACAATTTCATAGAGGGAATTAACAGGAGGAAATCGGAAAGTGGGACTCAGCTCAGGTTTTTTCTTTAGTGACACCACATTATCGACACAAGTTTAAGTATCTTTCCTCAAAAGTTATCGCTCAAAAAAATAACGGTCGAAGTTTCATGTGTAATACAACTGCAAAAAATCAAGGAAAAATTTTAAAAATGGATTTTGAGACTGGAGGTATTTCAAAGTAATATTACTGGTCTTGGTTGTCCAGTTTTTTGGGTTAAGTTTTTAAGAAAACAGCCTGCGGTACACATGTTTCATCGGTATTTATCTCTCCACCGTAGAAAATGTTGGTGTTCACGATCCGGACCTTTTTGAGGGAGACATGATTCTCACACCCGAGCAGCGTATGGCAGCCGAGAAGGGACTGGATGTGGACAATCTTTCTGGTAGAGCTTCGATCAAAAGCAAACTGTGGCCCAATGGTGTCATGTATTATGAGATCGACTCCAGTCTCTGTAAGTATTTGGATCTCGATTTGTTTTTAAAATTTGAAAAATAAAAGAAAAAAAAACATCTATACACTAAAACAGTGGAGAGCGTCTAAGGTGCGTTCTGATTGGCTACTCAATCTCAAAATATCCTTTTATTGCTGTTCACTCCCGAGCAACTCGTGCGGGATTTGCGCGCAAAATATTAAATAATCGTTGCTAGAATTATTGAGTAAATTTATCATTTTTATGCTATATTATCCCACTGTTTTACTTTATGCCAAAATGACTGTTCACCTCGGTGTAGGTGATTAGTGGTGGATAGTTACCTCGCTGCTTTTTGTCACAGCTCGGTAAACATTCACCACTGACCTGTTTCACTTCAGTAAATAGTCGTCAAATATAGCCATTGCAGAAGAAGCGAATCATACTTTGCGGCGAGGGAGTGGAGGGGGAGGGTGACATGCATTTACGTAGATGGAGCACCTAAGAACAATTCTTGTTCAGGGCACGATTTAAAGTTTAAAAGAGGTTGTTATATTTGGAGGCACGAAATGGCGTCTTCCTTTGCTTTCCTGGGATCTAATTCATTCATCAAATGAATTTACCCTTGAATTAAATGGTAGCCTTGCGACAGAGACTGGTTTGGTATAGTTGAAAAGAAAAAAGCACCACTAGACACCCCCCCTTAGGAAAAACATAATGGCCCCACTTTTCGAATGTTCGCAGTTTTCATTTCGTCCAACGTGTCTCACTCCCCCTTTATTTTTTTAATTTTTTTTTTCAAAGCGGGAAATTCTCAAGCCATGGCAGCTATCAGGGCAGGGATGCAGGAATGGACAAGCAAAACATGTATCCGGTTCAAGAGAGG